CTAACCGCTTTCAAATGATATTTATGACTCGCGCTTATTACACATTGCCTAATTATCTCGCGCCAAGTGCGATACGCTAGCGTGTGTACCATCATGAAATACTCAACGAGGCTCGACACCCTCGTCATCGAGGAGAATACGGCGCACTACCTAGGAGGGGTAAGTGCCGGCGAAGATCGAGAACCGGAACGTGTCAGGACAGGGCAACCGGGAGAAGCTAACCGGGTACCAGGCCGTGAGTCGATGGCAGGAGGCGATGGAGACGCGCGACGCTGCCTGGGCGCGCCGCGGCGTCGAGAATTAACGGGCTTAGTTGCCGACGCAGGTGTCGTCGGAAAGGCGAAGGCAAGCGAGAGTCAGGATGAATTACGGCGGGAGCGTCAGCCAACGCCAGGAGAACGTCGGTCGTTATATTTTGCGCAACATCCCGATTTTATGGGCCGCCCCCCGCGCCCTCGGACGAGGCGTTCTCCGTCCCCTTTCGGGATGAGAGAACTCGAACTTCCGTTGTGTGCCGCGCGGCTGCCATGCCGCCGTAACCGATGAGGTATCGCACAGTGCAGCATGTTCAGCAAGAACAAGATTCAAGATCACGAATCGATCGATTAATTATGCTGTGACTCCTGTTGTATTTTATTAATATATCTAAAAGTGATTATTTTTAGATATTAATACTATACATGACAGAAGTTCTTATACATATCATATTATAATATATCATATATGATACTAATATTATAATTAATATATCGCAACATATTCTGACATATTCGATGCATTAATCCGCTCTTTCTCTCTCTCTCTCTCTCTCTCTTATTCAATTATCTAAAAAATATCAATCAATTTTACAATGAATCATGATTAGAATCGTCACGCGATGTCGGTCGTCAGTTTCTCATTGAGCTCCTTTGATAACACGAGGTTGAGAGTATGTCTTTCGAGCTTGCGTCACAAGCAGGCGGGTTAACGAGTAATGTCTAATCTATGCATCCGCTTATCATAATGGCCCTCGTTATATCGTGAGCATGGCCTGGCAGGCTTCCGCCAACCCCGCGCCATCGACCAACCCCTTAGTCTTAGCCGCCCCTTTCCTCACGCGCCGCGCTTCCGCGAGACCGTAATAAAAATATTCCGAGTAACTGAACGATATTACGCCGTTACGGGCTCTCTGCTCGCCGGGTAGAATTAAGCGGTTGTAGAGATTGTCCCCGTATAGGGGTTCGAAGTACACAATCGCTATAAAGAGCGCACGCTGACGTAAAAGCCATGTGACAGCCCGTTACGTCACGTGCGATCAAAGATTGCAGAACACCTTCAAGATTTTATCTAAACGAGACGTAAGTGGGTTAAAGGTTGTCTCGTTGAAACGCGTCTTCAAACGACACGAAGAGATTTACTCGATTGTAGAATTTGCATTATCTGATGCAATCTCAGTTATTTTCTTTTCTCATCTTTTCTATTAATTGGAATTATAAAATAGGAATAAATTTATTGGAGTTGCATTATAGATCTTCACGTTGCTTGTATTTTTTTGCTTTCAGTACTATCGCTTTGTTTCTCTTCAACGACCGAATATATACATATATTTATCTCATTTTAAATACAAACATTTTTGATGATTTCAACCAACGCGAATAGACCTATTGAATTAGATGGAAGTATAATTGAAATGCGCGGTAAATATACATTATATTCATAAATAAGTAACTATAATGCAAGCAACGTTGAAAATTATTTGCGTCAATATATCAATCTCGAATTGCCAAATTGTCTCTATACTCTGCATAAATCGTCATAATTTTGCGTCCTCTCTCTCTCTCTCAGGGGGTTGAAATTCCGGTTCACGCGAGAATAATGACAATCTCGCGAGAAACAACGCAGCGCGGCGTGACAAGTCGGCCGAACCGGCCGGCGCAGCGTTCTATTAAGCTAAAATCAGGGCCCGCAGCGCGGGCTCGCAGCGTCGCTCTAAATTATTATAACGCGAGGAGATCCGCGTACCTTCGCGGACAATGAAAGGTACACCGTAACGTCGCGACGTTTGTTTTGTCGGCCTCGGCGCGGCCACCGCCCGCTCGCGCTCGCGCTCCGCGATGCTCTCTCGCCTACATTTCGTATATTTTATTATTACTCTCGCACTTTCCGCGGCTGGACACGGTAACGTTGGCGAGGGGGTTGACGGCGGTGGTTAGCCCGTGGCCGTTATTAATGTCCGCGGCATGCCAGAAAAAGCGAGCAAAAGGCCCCGTGCCCGGAGAGAAAAAGACAGTGGGCATCGGGTATCACTGGCACACAACGTTCTCTGGGATATACACCCCGTTAGTACATACGTCCCGCGCAGAACGGCGACACGGCCACCAGCACAAGCGCCAGGAGTTCTTAATAATTGATAAAAATGTACGCACGCACCGGTAAAGAGAACAGGAGGGTGGGAACGAGAGAGAGGCAGGACGTAGATGAGATAGAAGAGTGAAGGGAACAGGGATAGGGAAAAAAAAAAGGGCCAGACACGTCGGTGGTGGTGGCGATGGTGGTGGTGGTGGTGGTGGTGGTGGTGGTGGTGATGGTGATGGTGGTGGTGGTGGTGGTGACTCTCACCCTCGCGACTCCAACCCTCCTGTGTCCGCCCGACTCGCCACCGTTTCGTTGACAAAGGCATACGCAACGATTTATTCGCACTTTTCACCGCGACCTCTCCCGGGAATTTTTCTTCGTTCTGTCACAATTTCGGAATTATCAGAATTTATGCCTACCCCTTCGCACGCGTGGCCAAGCGCGCCCGCGCGCGTATTCTGATAGGTATTAAGCTGTCTTGATTACCACGATGGTTACCCGCGGAGATTCTCCGCGTTCGATGGCGTTGAATATTCCTAAATAAAATGAATGGCAACAGGACCAACGCATTTAAGGGTGCTTGCAACCCCCGTTATGTATTCGATATTCGTTGACGCTGCCACCGAAAAAAGATTTGAAGAGAGCATATCATAAATATCCATTTTCTGATCATTTATATAATTAAATGAAATTGGCATATTCTTACCTAAGACCGCCATTTTTTATAAAGACAGTGTAGTGAATAAAAATGTATGAAATCAAGGCAATTCTTTATTATATTTCTATCTTTTCCTAAAGTATCGTTTTGTTTCATCTGTTAAAAAATTTTAAGTTAAGATTTGAAGAAAATGACAACGCATTTGACTTTTAATAATTAATACGGTTTTTTTTTTAATTTTTGATTAAGGTAGAAGAGAGATATCGATTTTTAGACTTTCATTCGACATGAATTTTTGTATTAAAATTAATTAATCTAAAGACATCAAAAGAAATTAATTTGTTTTCGAACAATGGTGTATGCATGGAATGCTGCTTTATTGAAGCGATAAAGAAAAAAAATCAAAGCAGTATGCGAATTAAATCGATAAAAGTACTTAATAAAGTGCAAATTCCTTGTCACGAACGTGGCCAGATCCGGGCACCGCCATCGCGATTTACCGGAAATTTTTCGTCGAAAACAAAAGAATGAAAGGCCACGCAGCTGCTCGAATCTAATTAAGAAATTCTTACACGGCAGTGCCGCGCATTCTGCCACACCCTCATGTCCCGACCTCACCTCTGTCCATCTCTTTCTCTCTCTCTCGTCCGAGGCACGTCTAGAAAAATTAAAAATAATTTTCCTACGTAAACGTATTAACCCCGGTGGCGGTGGACGGGCTTTTTGCGCTGCGCTTTTCTCGCAATTTGTACAAAGAACGGCACGGACCTGACTTCAAAGTAGATCTTACACGGTGTCGTATCATTTTATTCCAGGAACTTCCCTGCGTATTACTCGTTATTGCGTTTAAGTCACTGCCGCTTCCGCACTGCGGCCGTCGCGTCGCTCGTCCGCCCTCATTTAAGATTCCGAGACGAATTTCGTAACTTTTTTCCGTAAATGGACGAATTAAATAATAACGTTCACGTAGAGCGCAAACGATTATGAACTCTGCGCATCAGGATTATAACTAAACGAAGCGTAGTTGTCTTCCAGAGAAAGACTAGGCGGTCACTCAATTCAAAAAATCATCCAGACAACGTAGAGATAATAACAGTATTTTAAGAATAATAAATTTCAAAATACTTCTCAACATTCTAGCATCTTTCATATAAAAAAGCTTCGCGAAACTTACAGAAATGTAAAATAATTTCTCTGGAAAAATTCCTTGAGAATAAAGTGGAAAGAGCTGAGATATGAAAACAAAGAAAATGAAATCTATTCGAGATTCGAATACATTTTCTCGGATCGTCAAATAATCATTGTTATCTTCACGCGGATAAATCTGTAAGCTTGACTCTTGGTTTGTTGGTCATCGGTCGGAAGGCGTCGACAAACGGGAGATAAGCGACGGGTGCTCTCCTCCCCGTTTCCCTCATCTTTTCTTTCTCGGTAATAAATCCCGGGGAAAAACCTATCTGGATTTTCCGCTCGTCCTTCCCGATGCTCAACCTAAAAATTCATTAGATTATAAAGCCATTAATGCTCATCCGCGCGGTCGAACGCGCCTCTCCTTGCTTAGGCGCAAGTCCAGCTTATTGGATCGATGTCTCACATTTGTGGAACTCCATCCACGTTTCTTTATTTCAATCGATGCATAACGAATTATGATCTCTTTTTTTTTTAAATAAATTATAAGGAAATATATAATGTATCGTAGTTATTGTGTGCGCATTACATTATAAAATTTAATTTTCTTATATCTTTAGTGTGATTATTGTATAATTAGTCACAAATGAGCGCGATCAATATGCTATATTAATTATTACTTGACTCCTATTAAATATAATAGTTAATTAAGAAATTCAGAATATCGTATACATTTATTGAGAGAAAGAGAGAGAGATATTCTGTTTTAAACTTTAATTATCGCTTCTGTGTTATTAAATATTATAATGTTATATGTATTGAAGTAGATGTTATATCTCAAACCGGATATTGTATCCCATTATTTATCTTGTGATCGCAGGAATCATAATTTCGGCGACTTTGGAGCAACCACGGAGATTCAACGAGTACGATGGCATCCGGGTTCTACGAACGACTCACATCTACTGGTTTTGACATCTGAAAATTCTTTCCGGTAATTAACTGTAAAAAAAAGTGTGCTACTATACGCGTTCGTTAGAATTATTTAACGATTTTATTTTAACTTACATAATTGATTCTTTTCAATTAAGAAAAGTATCTAAATGGAATTATTTAACTGAAACGTCTTTATTTTGAATTGCATTAATTACTTAATCGAACTGCGTACTTGCATAATTGTAATACCTATTAGCACAAATCAGTCGAAATCCTTGGTCAATCAAACGTCTATATGTATATATAACCCTTTAAGATAAAAATATCTCACAACCGCAAGAAAAGCATCCCTTCAATCTGTTAGGGATACTGTTATAATTACAGAAAACTATGAAACTCCGGAAAAACTACTTGACATAACTTATAACTCGAATTCGCCTTCTTTAGCTCTTCCTCGTGTTAGACTAGGGTTTAAAAGTACGGGAAACGTTTATGCAAAACTAAACTTTAGAGGGCTTTACGTAGCACGCCGAAGTGTCTTTAAAAATGTCGTCGGAGTGACCTTAAGCTACACTTAACTTCACCGCAGTTTATATGAATGCGACCTGGGTGATGCACCAAGACTCGTAAAATGCTGGAAGGTCGGCCGCGCACCATCGAGCTCGCCCTCGAAGATACCTGATTTTACTTCCCTCGGCGAAACTGCAGTGGATTTCGATTTCGCCACTCCTACTTTGAGGAAACCAGAAATGTTCGTCAACACTATTGAGGTACAAGCTCACGACTTTATGATTCAAACAACATATTTTCTCTCTAAAATACTTGTTTCAATCATACATGACAACGTATTTTGATTATCTGTTAATGATTTTCTTTTTATTAATTGTAAAAAAATAACGCGTTAAATTTGCTATATACGATACGACTCCTTTTATATCCTTATGTGGAGCATAGGACGTCTATAGGCCTCTTCCTCTTTTGTCCGAGGCCTATGTTCGTTTCTCGAATCAGATTGTTTTTCGGATTTGTGGGTGATTGATCCACAGAATCCTACCTCAGTCAGATATTAGAGACAAATATCTATAACTAATACGTATACTGACGTATAGGACCTACAGTTTAACGCCAAATCCGAACGGCGCTGATGATCATAGATCTTTTGATCACCAAGTGGAGCCATTTTTTGGCTCATTAAACGCGAAAAATCGCGTTTGGGCGCACGTGGAATTGAACTCGGGTCTACATATCGCGAGTCAATCGCACCGAGCGGGGTGAGCCACTCGATGCCACAAATTTGCTATATACATGTTACAAAAATAAAATTTTATTTTCCTATACAATTATTATTTAATAAGTTATATAATAAATTTTTCAACTTAAAACACGTTCCATTTTTAAAATTTTTATCCTGAACGCTACATTCAAAATTTTTCAATAATAATTTAATACAATTGATAATTTGAAGATTCAAAATGAATATATTGTTACGAAGATTCGCTATTCAGGATATAAATACTTTTAAATTTTATTCAAAAGTTTATTTGAGTACACTAAAAACAAATCTTAATTGTTTCTAAAATCGACAATAGCTTTTTTTATTTTTTTATTTTGATTTTTACAAAATAAAATTGAATGTATTATCGCCAAGATTTTTATTACTGATAGAGAACTTTAGATTTATACATAATTTATTATTATATTTGTAATACTTTTAATTGATTATTATGACGTACCTACTAGTAATATTAGTTCTACTGTGAAATATTTCTAATAACTTTCTAATAACTTTCAGATAAAAGAAGCAATAGATTGGAATCAAATCGAATGGCCGATCTTGGTGCTCCGTGGAAACGGTGAAGTACTAATTGTTCGTGGGAACGTTTTATTAGAGAGGTATAAACAAAAAAGTTTTTATAAGTCAATTAAGTACATGATTTCTTGCCTAATTTTTAGTAGGAAAGTTTACGCTATTGACGATCTCAGAATTGTTTTCACTTATGTCAACAATAGCACCTATTTTCCCATTTGATTGTGGCTTTAACTGTTGTCAGCTGTGAGAATCCAGTGGTATTGGGTTCGCTGTCCATGTATCCGTCGACCGATGATAATTACGGGATAGATTCATGCTCTATCATGTGCTTGCAAACTACTCCGCCGATAGTGGTCATCGCCATGTGCACCGGAAAGATTTATCACGCAATACTGCTGCGCGAAATATTGGACGACGATGACGACGACAGAAAGGTATGACGTATAATAAATATTGCAAAACTTTTTGTGTATTTCATGTGTCACCATATATATACATGACGCGAACTTTTTTATTACTCTTTCCATATTGTTAATCGAAAACGTGAAGACAAATTTACAGAAATAATTATTTAAGAGAAAAGAATAAATGTAAAAATTACTTCTCCTTTCGCCAGACTTGGTCGCAATATGGTTCAAACTATAGTCTTCATACGCCGGACGATGCACTTTACGTTTACGAATGCGTCGAACTGGAACTGGGTCTTCTTTTTACGGATGATGATAAAAAATATAATTGTCCCATCCACCTTCATTGCGATAAAGGCAACAAATCGAGGTATTAGTCGAAGAAAACGTACACATGTATGAGATGTTTCAGAACTATCGCAACTTCTTTAGCAAAAAATCATTGAAAGTTTGATTAATCAATTAAAAATAGATTCCTTCCTTTTCATAATAGAAAGAGCGATATTTCTAAAGCAATTCGCATTGCACTCGATTATTAATTAAATTGACTTTATCAATATTTATTTGTATTAGATATTTTTGTTCTCACAATGCTGGGATTCACATGGTGAGTTTACCGATGGTTTCTCAACTGGAGGAGTTAATACACGGCAAGTATATTTATGTTATACAAAGAAAAGAGTATAAAAAGAAAATAGAATTTGCCACATTGGGAGCTTTATTGTAGAAACCTTGAAAATGTATTATGTGAATTTGAATAAACAAATTTTTTATTTTTTCCACACATATATAATATCTAATAAAAAATTCATTAAAATCAAGTTAGTTTTCTTATTAAAAGTAAAAGTAAATATTAAAATCGAATAATGAAAGAAAAATTGAAATAATTGATTTGTCTTCGATGTCTTTATTAAATATTTTCTAACAAACATTTTATTTCTTTTTTTAGATAATAGCGGGAATTATTTACCATCGTTATTAAACCAATCGGTTTTACAATATCTGTTTTCCACGAGAACTAAGCACACAAATGTAGATGAAGCTACACCGATATTAGGTTTCGGTCTTCTTCAAGAACCTTGTGTTCTAATCGCGTTGCTACACACAGGCGTTGTCATCGATCTCTCAGTTATAGACCTTTATTATCTCCCAAGAATTGAGCAGCTAGAACCGGTCATGAATACTGCAAAAAAGGTAATTATAAATATTAAATGAATTACATACAATTTGGGTTCTCGAAATGAGTTATATACTATTCATCTATTATTTTTTCATAACTATAACTCTCCATATTAATATTTTATTAAACTGAAGCATATATAGAATAACCGTCGGGGTCAAACCTAGATCTAAACACGAATGCATCGCTCTCATAGCCATTTACCTTATTCCTTAAATTCTATAAATATTATTGTTTTCTAAATGTTATAATACCATCTGATTCGAGTATCAATGCTTTCGTATTAAGATAATTTCTTTATTTTTTTCTTGTATTTTAATTTTAATTTTCTATTTTTAAACTTTTTTGAGCTTTCTTGCACAGGTTTCTACACAATTCTTTTAAGGTGAAACAAGAAATTAATTATTTGATTAGAGTATTCATAAAAAAAACATGTATTGATTTTTTTAAGGTGAATAAGGAACCGTTCGATGTATATATCAAGAAATTACTAAGACGAGATGTATCGCAACCAATAACTAAGATAGGATCTCGCTCGATGTCCTTAAACGAATCCCTAGAGGTAAATATAAATAGAAAACGTTACAATTAATGATAATCTTTTTACCTAGTTATCTAGAAATAAATATAAATATCTAAGAATTTTGGTTTTTTGTGTATAAAAATAAAAAAGGCACTACATAGTAAAGTTACTCTCTAATAATAATTATCGAAAACGTTCTTTTTTTTATTTCAGTTATTGTATCACGCCACAAATATTTTTCGTACTCAACACTTTGTCGGACACGACAAAGTTAGGGAAGAAATTGGCAAGAAGGTTCGTACTTTGAAGGCTTTGAAAAGCCATTTATTAAAAGAACTCGACACCTTGATGGAGACAAAAAAAGAATTGCGACAGACCGCCGAACGTTTAGCTGAACGATACGAAGATATTAATGATAAACAGAAAGAATTGGCTCGTAGGTAAGTGTTTAATTACTTCAAAATAATTTTCCCTCAGTATCATGTTAAATAACTGATAGATACAATATAATTTATAATATTAAATATCATGAAAAAAGAAAAAATAAAATTACACTCTATATTTTCAGAGCAGAAGAAGTTCTAAGATTGGTAAATTATAAAGAACCTTCAATGACTTCTATTGAGCGAGCAGAGGCGGAAGAATTGAAGAAAATGGATACGAAGATACATGATATGCAGATCCGACTTGAACAGCTCAAGAAAAAATCTGCTCAACAGACTGTGCAAACAAATGGTACCGAATTTAATGAAAAGAGGAAAGAAATTGTTTTCACACACAATCAAGAGGAAGTTGCAAAGGAAAATCTTCGTCATATGTATGTACAATTGTAAATGAATAATTCGAAATCTATAATTTTACAAATGCAGATTGATAAACAAACATAAACGTATTGTTAATGTACTATTATCATATATCAGTTGCTTGATATAATATTTTTTTTTCTTTTACAGGGCAAAAAATATAAAAAATTTGGTAGATCAGGTAAAGCAGATTAAAGCAGAAATTAGTCTTTCATATATTAGTAAACAGTAATAGCAAATATTATTAATGTCTAAATTGTATAATAATTAGTGATTTTAAACTTCAATTAAAAAAATTTTATTTTACAATAAAAATTCTTTCATCTGTTTAATAAGTTTCAAATTGACGTACAAGTTACTTATTCTTCTTATATTTAATCATTGGGTGCGTTCAAAACGACAACTGCTCACTGAGCGTAGAGTAAGTGGTAGTTATTCTGAATGCACACATTTTATTAGAATAAATGCGCCAAAATAAAATGTGTGTATGTGTGTGTATGCGATACAAATATATTTATAATGAAAATATCTTCTTTATTAAAATGTACAAAAAATTTCATCATTCATCTAGAAATTATTAGGAATAGCGTAATAATTAAGATACGTATATTAAGAATATATATATATATATATATATATCACATGCAATTAATATTAAAGATAAAAAGCATTTTATGAAATAATTTTTTGTAGTATGAAATAATAATAAATTAAGAAATCAAACAGTATTAGAACTGATCAATCACTCGCTATCAACTTCATCAATACCCTCAGGTGGAACAGGTGGTGGTTCATTTTCAAATATAGGCATGATCTAGAATAAAAAGATTTCAAAAATTTATTTTCAAATATACATATAAATATTTTTTTAAATATGAAAATAAAAATTATTACCATAGTAGATCGTGAAGTTTCCATACGTTTTATTGAGAAATCATTATCACTATTTGGATTTAATACTGATTTCTTGACATGTTTCTCAATTATTGGTTCCTCAATCTGTTGATGGCCAATAGTTTTAATATTTGTGGAATTCTCTCTCACGTCTTTAGTTGCTTTAGATTCTCTATCCTCTTCGTCGGGATCTTCATATAGTACTTGCAAAGTGATATGCTAAATATAAAATTTTAGATTAGAAAATTAATACCATGTTAAGTACTTATTTTACATATCTCGTACCTTTATTGTGTTTGCAATAGTTGATTTTACATAATCAAAAGATAGTTCAGAACGTGATTCATCCGCAAGTTTTTCTGATAATGTATGGTACGTTTTATTCATTATTTGCTTAATTTCTTTATTTTTCTTCTCAATCTGCAAAATAAATGAAAAATATATACATTGAATTGATAATGAATAAAATTTGCAATTGAAAAATATGATTATATTACATCTTTTTGTTTACAAGACGTTGCGTCGGCTTGAAGAATATGCTCTTTATGACATTTAGAAAGTCTATCTTCTAAACTAACATTTTCTTCTTTACATTGTACAATTGTATTTTTAGCTACTTCTAAAGCTTCTTTGGTTCCCTTTAACTCATCATTTGTATCGTTTAGCCTTGTTTCCAATTCTTGAAGCTTCTTACTCAGATTTTCATTAATTTGAAGCAATGATTCTTTTTCCTCTATAATAACATGCTTCGATATATATATATGTGTATATAAAATTGAATAAATATTGAACATACATAAATTATTCTATTTTAATATAACACTTATATTTAAATTATTATTTAAATATATTATTTCAGATGATTATCACCTTTCGATTGTCTTAAATCATTTTCTAAAGAACTTATTTTGCTTTGTGCTTCCTGAATTTTTTCATCTGGCATATCTTTATTAGTATTTTTTGATAATTCGTTGATCTTTATTTCTGTTTGAGATGCATTAAGAGCTAAAAGCATTTTCCAAGAAGCATCCAAAGTTGCTTTATCGTTCGTAGGAGTTGTCGCATTTTGAAGTTCAAGTGCATGGAACTACACACATAACAATTTTATAATCAATGCAATCTGAGATTCATTATCTTATCGATATGCATACCTTATCCAATAATTTCTGAACATTATCAGATATTTTAGATATTCCCATTCGTATTTCTGCGTTCGCTATTCTCGTTTCTGATAGCAGCATATTCGTTCCGGGATCCAGAGCAGCTGGTATTGTATGATTTACAGTCTGCGATACAGGATACATCTGATTATCCATCGTTAGGTAATGTCCCTATAATTTTAACTATCTTTCACAATCATGTCTCAAATTGATAAATTTATTAAGTATAAAACGATATATGTATATTAAATATTACAGCATAATATCGTGGAGTCCATTGGGGCGTTAATGGTTGTGCAGAAACTAATGGCTTATAAGTACTAGAATCTACAGAAGGCATTCCAGTTTTATGCTCCACAGCTTTCTGAGTGGCATCTTTTTCAGCTGGTGATACGAAGGATAAATTCTTCTTTTGCAAAGTTCTTTCTGATTGTTCAATCTAACAGAACATACAATATTTTATCAAAATGTAGATTATATGTACACAAAAAAATTTGGAAATTGTAACCAACCTTCTTGTGACGAGGAGATTTATGAGGTAAATCATCCTGCAAAATGATATTGCTTCTTTTACATTTGAACAATAATCATAAATTCGTGATATCTCTATTAATAGAAATAAAAAAATATTAATATGAATATACCTCGGTATCTTCAGAATCAGTAGTAGAAGGTAGAGGCATTTTTGGTAAAATGGACTGACCCATTTTAGCCATTCTTGATATTATAGCTGCTTTTCCACTAGTTGAGTTTTTGGCTGTCGATGGAATTTCTTCCTGTACTCGTATATCGGTTATTTCAATTATCAGCATAACATCTCTCTCTTTAGGAAATCCAGGACCTAAACTAATCTACGTAAAACTTTTAATGCTGACAACATTGTTGCATATGGCATACCATAACAATTTGGTCAACTACCTGTTTGCTAGGCGGTAAAAATAAAACTCTTTTCAATTCCTTGCCACTGCCCAGAAGAATCCTTTCCCAATTCTCATCTGTTGATATTTCCACAGTCATGGTTTGCGACATTACGAAGTTTGTTTTAAAAGGCTGTACAATCTCAGTCCCCACGAAATATTTGATGCATATGTTATCCCCCTCTTTCGCGATCACATCTTTATCGCTTGGCATTAGATCTTGATAGATTACATTCTCTCCTTTCTCTTGCAACGCAAAATAGCGTGCTAATCCTACTTCTATTGCAAACTCTAGATAATTCTCATACTTTTCAAATAAAATTGACCAATTTTCTTTGTTGTCATCATAATAACTAGCATAATTATTCGTTTGTACAGTATACACAAAGTCACGCCTCACTGTAGCGACAGATATGTATTCTTCCTTAGTCTTGTACAAAATTATTTGATATACTCTTGTTACTATGTTGCCTGTCAATGCCATACCAATCTTTCCGACACAAGCATATTGGCCATTTTGCCTGAAATTTAATTATATTTAATTTAGTACTCATTATAAAATAAATAAGATTATAATTGTATATGTCTGTCAATGTTAATTAAAGATAAGCAATACATATAAATTTTTCTTTTTTTAGCATTTACAATTTAAAAGCATGTACTGCTTTAGCTATCAACACTTCTGTCTTAGAAGATGGTACAGTTTGCTGTATGTTATATCGAGTACTCTTCTTAGATACTTGTTTAACAGAATGAGGCTCGAGTTTCGGCTGTTGTCCAAAAATGGCAGCCAGATTAGACCTGAAAGAACAAGATATTTAATATATTATCTAACAAATACAAGACAAAACAAAAATTATCAGAATAAACAAAAAAAATTCAGCTTCATTTGTTTATAAAATTACATAAGAAACATTTACAGAATAATTACTATAAAAACTATAACAATTAAAATTAATTAAGACTAATTAAAGCAACATTGTTCATTTTAATTATTTCGTTGTGTTTTTAACGTATTTAACATCTAAATTCTAAAAGCAAATGCATGTTTAGATTTTGAAAGAAAAAATAGACGATTTACTAATCCAAACAAATTTTCACTCAATCAACAGACTTTGCACTAGCACTTTGCTAGTTATATTCGATAATATATGAATGATACGTACCCTCCTGAAGGTACGAAATCAGGTTCATCGTCATCCCGGAAGATCTTATCTAGATTTGGCAATTGATTTTGCGCGCTCATAATTGTAGGAAATTAATATGAATAACGCGCTTCTTTTAATCGCATGCGAATGAGGTGGCTTGTTGTGATGACATCTCGTCGTTCAAATTGCATTTACAACTCATTACATTCACTATCATATGTTCTACGTAAAATCCAGGCATGTCCACTACTCCACTTATAGACCTTTTCTCTGACTCAGTCACGTGACACGAACGATGACCAGCTGCGCGCGTGTGACACATGTCTGTCCTTTATAACAGACTAATCTACACTTATTGCACTTTAAAATGAGAAATAGATATATATTTGTAGTTTGAACAAGTGAGATAGAAAGTTTCAGTGTAGTTCAATACAGCGACAAGGAACAGGTGTGGCACTATATGGTACACGTAGACGTGACATGACGTGACATAACCCTTAGACGACGTCGTTGTCATCGTCGTCACTCGAGATACCTTGCCACTATTCTCGACAATGTAAAGTGTTTCCAGAGATTTTGTATTCGACGTAATCTTTCACGAGCCTTCCGCCACAAAACTATTGCAATGAATATGAGTAAGACAGAGAAGCTATTAGCCGCTAAGAAGAAGGTAATCCTACATTTGAGACCAGCTGTCACGTCACGTTCAATACAATTATCATATATATATATATATATATATTAAATAATGCATCAATACAATCTTTCTACGAAATTTCTCTTTATTAATATATTTATGATAACGACATTACCAAGCCATTACATTAATTGTTATAAGCTGTTAAAGAATGTGATGTTAACATGTTTTACTAAAAAGTGTTTGCATTAAATTTATAGCATGTAAAATTTACTTTTGTCAGTAGATTTGAATAAAGTTATGACTTATATTACAGCTGAAGGAATTCCAACTGCAAAAAAAATTACAAGTGCAAGAAACCTTGAATAAAGACTCAAATATAATAGATGAGTCTATATCACAGGTAATTATTCAATAACAATATAGAAATTTATGTGTTTCTGTTATAATATAATATTTATTTTTTAAGTATAACGTTTTAATAATGTTTTCAACAGTGCCAAACAAATTGCCAAACTACAGAAGTGGACAAACTTTATAATCAAAAGAAACAGAATGAAGTAAAGAGAGAGTATCCAGAAAAACGATATGAGAAACATATATATAATACAGACATTATGCATAAAGAAGAAAATATAACAAATCACTTTGAGGGTGCTAATAACTTATCAGATATGATTGAAACTAAAATAGCAACAAGTAATAGTGAAATAACAGAAAAGAGCTTTCCTTCCTTGGAAAATTATCCAGAAACTGCTGTATTACACGAAAGTGGTGATAAAGACACCACATATTCACGTCTTCACTCAGATTTACAATATGTAGGAAATGATGAGAAATATAACTTGAATATTACAACATCTAATGGACCATCAACAATGCAGAAAGAATATTTGTTAGAAATGGCATCGGAAGTTGCTCATATTCTTACCGATGATACAGATCACAGTGAACCACCAAGTTCACTTGATTTTGATCTAAAGTGTCGCAATCAATTTTTAAGTTCATGTTTGGAGGAACAGAAACAACTTGTAAATGACTTACATATTCAAGTTAGTCGTTATGTGAGTATATTTTGTATTTTGTGATGTACTGTATACAGCTCATGCACTCTGATTCTATAACTCTTATGTTGTTATTGCACGAATATATAATAAATAAGCTGCGCAACAACATTATGATACCGAACTGTCGTTAAAAGTCACAGAATCAGAGTACATGGTACTAGATTAAATCTAATTTGATTACATGTGAAACAATAGCACAGCAGAGTAGCTGAATTGGAAGAAATTCTAGCTACGAAAGATTCTGAGTTTGAAGCCAAACTTGTTCGCGAGATAAATCCTCTGAAGGAGCAGTTACAATTCCACGCACAGACTACTGGTATCCTGATAGCAGAAAAAGCAGAGCTCACAGCAGCTTTGGCACAGAGCCAGAAGACTGCAAAACAGAATTCAGGTTATTATTTACTATAATTTGCACTATAATTTGTTATTATATTTACTATAAAATCTCTCGAAAAACGTAAAATTTGTTCTGATAATATTGGTAAATGTTATTTTCTCATTGTCATAATTAAATCTTTGTTATTTAGAAGAGATAGAGGAGATGAGTGGAAAATTAAAACATAGCCAGCTTCGTATTAACGAGCTTGAAAAAGAGTTAACTCAAATGCGAAGTAATTCTACTGACACTCAAAAAAATGCTCAACAAGTGCAACAAGTCTATAATGAGCTCGAACAGAATTATTATGAACTCAGGTATTTATATTAAAACTATATAATTTTAATAAATGTATAGCTTTAAATATTATGTAAAAAATGTATTATATAAAATAATCAAATAATCATTTTCGCGTATAGAAAAGAAAAGGAAGATTTAGAATTGGAAACATCAGAATTAAAACAAAAATTAAATTTAAAGAATACCGAATTTATTACTTTGCAACAAGAATTCCAAGAAAAAGCAGCATTACTTTCCTTAAATGAATTAAGGATACACCAAGTAATTTTTTACCATTTTTGTTGAAAATTACAATCGTTTTATCCTAAAACTAATTGCAAATAAATTGTTATAGCTAACTGATACATCGCAAACGTTAGAGTCCCAGCATCAAACCGTAACAGTACTGGAACAACAGTTGGCTCAAATGAGAGAAACTTTGAAACTAGTGAATAATGAGAAGGATGAAGCCAGTAGGCAATATCAAAATTATGTACGACAGTTAGATGCACAGCAAGTAAAATTGTTTAATGAGGTATATATGTATAAATATTTACATAACTCTGCTTATAAAGGTAGTTATTTCATATCGAGTAATTGCAGATTGAAAGCGGAAAGAAAATAATCAGTGAATTAGAAAGTAGAGAGAAAAGTTATATACAACGTTTATCGGATTTAGAACAACAATTGCAGCATGAAAGAGAGAAAAGTGAAGCTGTACTTCCATCACAAGATCATAACGTTGAAATAGCTAATTTAATAAAAAACATTGAGGAACTGACCGCACAACATGAAAAACTTCATATCGCGTTATCTGAAAGGGTAAAAATATGTATAAAAAATAACAATTCAGAAACTTAATACAAAAATATTTTTTTATGACAAGATAATTTTTAGGATACAGAGATTGAAATGTTAACAAAAGAAATACAGCAATTACGAGACATGAAAGATGATGGAACTGATGTAGCAAAATTAGTACAGGCTTTTGAAAGTGAAAAACTTGGTGCATCTAGAGCTGTTTCACAAAATCAACAGTTAAAGGAACAACTAACTGAAATGGAAAATGCTTTTGTTACTCTTGTGAGTGGTATAGTAATATAATATACATCCACATCTAATATTTTATTTAAAAAAATACTTATTTATTATAAAAATGTATTTAATTTTAAAAATTTATATATAATTATTTTTTTTTTTTTTAGAGTAATGCTAAGTTGGATTTAACAGAACAGCTTCAAGCTGAACGAAATATTGGCCGAAAATTAAATGCAAGATTGAATACTGTCGAAATAGAAATGGATAACCTAAAAGAAAAATTAAAAGAAAAGGAAACACTTTTGATAGAATTAGAGAAAGAAAAGCTGCAAAATGCTCAAATTACAGATCAAATGCAGCATTATCAAGCACAGTCTCATCATGCTCAGACATTACAACAAGAATTACAAAATGCTTTGGTATTTCCTGAACTATTTAGTAAATTTAATCATTTTAATTTTTATTCTCATGTTTTTTACACAAGAATACAATCCATGACTATTTAACATAACTTTATTTAACCATAATTTATATTTTAGATTTATATAGAAGATTTGAAAAGTGAAAATAAAGATCTCACAAAAGAATTAAAAAATAAAGTACGACAAGAAACAGATTTGTCCAGAGAAATTTTAAACGATAATGAAGATCAGCATGTAACAAAGAATGAACAAAATTGTAATGATATTATAACAATGCAAAACTCGCCACTGCCAGAAGGTAAAAATATTTCAGACAATTTTAGGCCTATAACAAAATTAGAAAACAGATTTAAAGAAACAATGGAAAAGGTCGCTGAATTAACCGACGAGAAACAGAAATTAGAACACCTTGTTCTCCAGCTCCAAGGTGAAACAGAAACTATAGGTAAGTTACTCTACTTTTGATTATATAAATTTTATGTCCTACTTTTTTACTTCTAATTTTTTAGAGTACTGTAATTATTTTAATAGTTAATTTTTAATCTTAAATTTAATATACAAGTTATTGTTTTAATTTTTCATTTTTCACATAACATAAACGCACGCACGCGCACACACACAAATACGTTATTTAAAAAAAATCAAATTAACGCGCATATATTTTATACAGGAGAATACATTACTTTATATCAAAAGCAACGAGCGATTCTAGGAGAAAAATGGAAGGAAAGAGAGCAAACCTTCCGTCAATTAGTAGAGCAACGTAATCAGCAACAGGAACAGTTGCACAAATTAAAAGTATTAGTTACCGATTTGCTTCAAAAACATCCCGAAACACTAATAAATTCCACAGAAATAAATTATCATAAAGGTAAATTTACTTGTACTTTTAAAACATTTTCTTTCATTACTTCCTTTAGAGTTTTTGAATAAATCAAACACAAATAATTGAAGACTACATTTTAAATAAAGGTTTAATTATAATCTACTTTAGTTATTATTAATATAATATATAAAATGAAGAAAAAAACATATATATATATATGTACACACGATTGTATTCTTTTTACAGATACAAATGCCGATAATCCTACACTATCTGAAGATAAAAAGCAAGACAATGCAGAACTATCACTGATTGAAGATAAAACTGCATCAGATATTCTTGATCTTCTCACAGAAATCAAAGACTGTAAAGATACGTGTATTATAGAATCTAATTTTCATCCATGTCCATGGTGTTCTGGGAGGCTCATTACCGTGTAATCATGAATAATAAATTTGTTTAATCTTTGTTATAAATAAATTATAATATAATACAAATTAGTAATGTAGAATAGTGATACTTGTATATAGTTCTTAGACTTTTTTAAAACTTCTGTATTTATCTCTTGTAAAAGGACGTAAAATTTTTATCTGAAGGGTTATCTTATAAATATACAGTGCCTTGAATAATTTTGCACATAGAATTTTTATTTTCTCTCTAGCTATTGAGAGACTAAGAGTTTGTGAATATTTTGTCAATATTTTGTCGCAAATAAACACTCAACATTTTAATGAAATTTTTATTTTGAATAGTAATTAAAAATGTACATACTATGCTTTCAAAGCATACTTTCTCTGCGGATACGTAGAGCGTTTGCGTATCTCCTTCAATGTTTTCCTGCTGGCTTGATAGGGAGTAAGAACACGACGTAAAGCCCTTGTTTTCTTGGGCCTCAAATCAAGAGGTTTGTACTTTTTGTTTTTGTAAAGTAAACGAAGGTTTCCCTTTTGCTTCTGATGCATAATAATATATACTCGTGCAATAGCCTTCCTCACGACACGACTAAAATGACAAATAGAAAAATTTACAGAAACATTGCAGATTAAAATTCATTTCAACATATAAAATAATATATATATAAACAAATTTCTCAACAAACTTCAAAATTTCTTAATGTCAAATGACATAAAGTAAAATCAAAGACAAACAAATTTATTATTTTATGAATTATTTACATTATAACTTGAAACACTATAAACACATTTATAAAATAAATTATAAGAATTATAAAGCTTACATCTTAGACAGCTTTGATGCAGCTCCTCCAGTTACTTTGGCCACTCGCAGAGTGGTCAATTCTGTTTTGAGTTGCTCGAGCTGCTTCATCAGCTCCCGCTTATCTTTAGTCCTTAATTCAGAACACTTCACTTTTGCCTAGAACAATTCAATATACATGTAAGTACATTTACATATTGTATACTAATTAAAACAAAATGATTACACGTATTACGAATCATCGTTAAAAATACAATCTCCTTTTATTTTCCGTCCAATTTATAATTCAACAATTGTGACGCTCTGTGTGCGGTAACGGCAAGGTTATGTGATATAAATCTGTCATGCGAGTAAAATTCGAAAATATTCACAAGCCACCGATTAGATTCTGGTAATAATACAATTTTCATCGAATAATCGGAGTACATTAACCATTGATGTTATAAATAAATACGGATTACAATCATATCTCCACTAACCATATTGAATCGGCTTTCTCTCAGTAAGGAAAAGAATCATGGACGACGACGATCATGAAAGGGAATTTAGGGAACAGGTAAAGAAGAGGGAGTCTGATAGAAGACAGAATGACCAACGTATCATCAATACAACTAATAACAACTATATATCCCTAGAATCAAAGGTACATCTACAACGATCACTGAATTACGAAAATAATAACTGAATGTGATTGGTCGCGTTCAGATTCAACAGTTTTACAACTGTTTCATGATTCGTCTCGCTGATTATACTTTTAGATCTAAAGGAATAGTCCTATCTCAGCAAAGAATCATAAAACAGTTGTAAAACTGTTGAGTCTCTGAACGCGACCATGAGAACGTGACAACATACGTCGCCATGTTAAATATGTTAAATATGGTGGAATTACTTATTCGATTCGATCTTATTGACAGCCTAAAAAATTTTCATACTGAATAAAAAAATATTCTGGCAGTTTTGAACAGTTTTTGAAAATAGTTTATAAATTGAATATACTACGATAAAAAAACGTGAGAAAAATGTTAAATTTTCCTTTTTTTTTATTTCTAACCTTAAATAATACTTGTAATTCTTTTACAAATAAATTACCATTATATATTTTTTAAATTTATGATTGAATTAGATTTTTAAAATAAATAACTAATTGTTACTCGATTTATAATCCTATTGTAGGTTTTAATCTCTCTGAACTAAAACTGCTAAGAGTAGGACATAAACAATGGGGAAACATGAAGTAGGCACACCAAAATATATTGCTAATAAAATCAAGGCAAAAGGATTGCAAAAGTTAAGGTGGTATTGTCAAATGTGTCAAAAACAGTGTCGAGATGAAAATGGATTCAAGTGTCACACAATGTCAGAGTCACATCATCGTCAGCTATTGCTGTTCGCAGAAAACGCACATCGATATATGGATCAATTCTCACGGGAATTTTCACAGGGATATCTAAATTTATTAAAGAGACAATTTGGCACCAGACGAGTACCAGCGAATCGAGTATACCAAGAATATATCGCTGATAGAGGACATATACACATGAATGCGACTCAGTGGCTCACTTTAACTGCATTTGTAAAATGGCTTGGACGTACTGGACAGTGTGTTGTCGACGAAACTGAAAAAGGTTTGTACATTGTCAAAATTTATTATTTATTGGCAATTATATATTCATCTATCAATAAAATTATAGATTAAAGAAATATATTTTATATTATTTCAGGCTGGTATATAACATATATCGATAGAGATCCTGAGACACTTGCAGCACAGGAAAGAAAAGCAAAGAAGGAAAAAATGGACAAAGATGATGAGGAACGTCTACTGGACTTTATTGACAAGCAAATAGAAAGAGCAAAACAGGATACAAAGGATGAGGAGGGTGAGACATCTAAGACACCATTAATGCGTCCTGAAAATGATGCACCTTTAATTCTCGACATAAAGCTAAAACCAAAACCAAAATTGCTTCCTGTTCTTGAAGTAAAGCAGGAGAAGATAAAAAATGAAGATAGCCAGAATAAATCAGTTTCAAGCAAATTAATCAATGAAAAAAATGAAAAACTCAAAAGATCCAATGATGACAATAAGACGGAATCTATCAAGAAGTTAAAAAGTAGTGATGATTCTCCTGCAATTGAAGGATGGCTGAGGGAAGGTTTAATGGTTAAAGTAACCACGAAGAGTTTGGGTGACAAATATTACAAAGCTAAAGGCGTTGTTCAATCAGTTGGAACAAACGGTTTTGTTGGTAAAGTAAAACTGAAGTCACCAGAAGAAGTTAACGGACATATTATACGACTGGATCAAGAATATTTGGAGACTGTAATTCCCGCAATAGGTAAAGAAATTATGATTCTTTGGGGAAAACATAAAAGTATGAAAGCAACAGTGAAGAAGTTACACATAGAGCACTATAGCATAGACGTTGAACTCGAAAAAGACAAACAAATTTTAAAGAAACTGCCATATGAACAAGTATGCAAGTATATAGATTGAGAAACAATTGTGTGGAAAAAAATATTAAGAAAAAGATATTATATTTTAACATTGTTCAGTAATAACTTGTATTACATTCGTTGTATTACTCCAAAGAGCACCTGTGTACAAATTTAACAGCTAAATAAGAAATGTCAAGCTTGTATATAAAGGATATATCATAAAATAATATAATTTATATTACTTTACATAATGTAATATAAATTTTACATGCAATCCCTGGGAAACAATTTTTTGTGAAACGTCCATTTAAGACAAATTTTTTATTGAATATTATCACACGATTACATTTTATTACATATCAGTGTTTGTACAGTGTAAATACATATGTAAAATTAGGAAAAGTAAAGATGTTATTGTCCACATAAATAAAATACTATAATTTATAAACATCAAAGTCTGAAATTATTATAAATAAAAAAGTAACGCTTGTTATATTAAAAAAAAAACAAATAATATTAAAATACGGTATTAAAAACAAGCAACAATATAAAAGATGACAATATATACCTATCAAATTATTCCATAAATTTAAAAAAAAGTGCGAACGTTTCTCTTTTTAAATTTATGGAATAATTTGATATATATTGTCATCTTTTATATTGTTGCTTGTTTTTAATACCGTATTTTAATATCATTTGTTTTTTTTCTGATATTGTTTTTTAAATTGGATCTCAATCTCGTGTTAAATTAAGAAATGTAAAAATAACACATTGTCTTATTTAAGAAATGAATGTATATATAAATGTATATTATCTTTCTTTATAAGGATATATCAGAATTTTTAAATGTCTTATGTTTTTTTCGATAAAATATTCATTTTGTATGTGTATATATATCTTTTATATTATTATACATCTTAAATAAAATAAAAACATTAACTATTATTTATTTTGTATGTATTTATTTATGACATTTTTCTCTTCCAAACGCTTTTATGTACTGTGTACATATAGTTTGTGTAGTAAATTTATTTACTATAAGAATCTATATATATATATATAAAATTTATTTTTATCTAAAAAAGAAATTTTAAAAAATTAAAATAATAGATATTTACTGTTAATACAATATATAATACAAATTATCTCTGTTTAAAAAATTAAAACAAAAAAAATAAAACAATTCTAATTTTATACATAATTCATAAAAAATTTATTTACATATTGATAAATTAATGTTAGCCTGATCTCGTTCACAATTACATGATTGATGCAAAATAAGAATAGTATTATTATATGATGTATACACACAGAATTTTTTTTGGGGGGGGGGGGTACATAAATATAATATACATAATTTTACTCGAATTTGCGAAGCATTCGCTCACGTACGCTTTGCACTGGAAAACATTCTTTATCAAGTATTACAATACGCCCATTGATGTTAAACAATACGTCTCCTCGACGTTTACGATTAAATATAGGCACAACGGTACCTTCAGCAAAAGTTTCTATTTGTGTTTTGCCCAATATTCTACTTACAAATACAGCTTTGTACATTTTCTCTGCAGAATTGTAATAAATTCGGAACGGAATTGTTTTGCTGCCTATTATCAGTATGATGGATATAGTAAAACTAAGAAATATCATACATATCCTTTCCAAATTGTTTAAAGGTTTAAATATTATTTCCGCATTCTCTGCTCCTTTATCAAACATCGGTGGTTTCCATGATTTTACACCAGGTAATACATTCTTTGTTTCTTTCTCTGGTAGTTTCTGTACTGGTGGTTTCATGTAGATAAAATATCCCGTAATAAACAGACTAACAGCAAGACTTATCCAACCAATATGATATGTCGAGGCAATTATTATATTTATAATTGATTGTTCCCTATATATAAGTTTGTAATCATT